GGCGGTGGCGGCCCCAGCTGCCGGCGGCTCTGGCAGCTGCCTGCTGGGCGACCTCCCGGCTGTCAAAGCTTGGAGGTAACTGTCATGGGTCAGGCTTGCATGGGACGTTCATTTTCTCAGCTGTGACAGACAGACGTCGAGGATCCGGTGATGAGGTGCCAGATCTGTGATCTGCTCGGCGTTTCCTGTATTAAGCCTTTATGCGAAATGCTTAAGGAAGGATAAGCGGGGGGGTGGAGGGGGGTGTTGGAAAATGTTATCAAAGTCTTTGTAGATTTGTTTCTTGTTGGTGGGTTTTTTAATCATTGAAATGCATTAACTTGTTTAGTATTCAAGTTGGGTGTAAACAAACTTCAAGTTTGTATGTAAAAGTTTGCTTTGAGAGCTCTTAAGATAACTCTTCAAAGAAATGTGACATAACTTTGGACCTGCATGTGGAAATTGATTTGACAGTCATATTTAAGTTTTTTAAGTGTACCTGCCTGTTAGTTACTGTTGTCTAATTTATTGCTTGGAGCCAAAGACAGGAAAGAGAAAAACAAGTGAAGACATTCTGTGATCATCCTGGTATACAGCAGCATTTGAAAGAGGCATCTTAGGGGTTGTTGGGGTTTAAGTCCAGCCAGTAACAAAAGCACCACGCAGCTGCTCGTTCACTGCTCCCCACCAGTCACAGTGGAATGAGGAGAAAATACAAAGAAAAGTTCGTGGGTCAAGACAAGGACAGGGAGAGATCACTCACCAGTTATGGTCTCGGGCAAATGACAGGGTCAACTTGGGGAAAAAACAAAGTCAATTTAATTTGTTACTAATAAAATCAAAACAAGGATAATGAGAAGTAAAAACAAATCTTAAAACACCTTCCCCCACCTCTCCCTCCTTCCCGGCTCAACCCCACTCCCAATTTTCTCTACCTCCTTCCCGCCCAGCAGCACAGGGAGACAGGGAAGGGGGTGGGGGTCAGTTCATCACATGTTGTCTCTGCTGCTTCTTCCTCCTCAGGGGGAGGACTCCTCACTCTTCCCCTCCTCCAGCGAGGTGTCCCTCCCACGGGAGACAGTCCTTCACAAACTTCTCCAACGTGAGTCCTTCCCACGGGCTGCAGTTCTTCATGAGCCGCTCCAGCATGGGTCCTTTTTGCGGGCTGCAGTCCTTCAGGCACAGGCTGCTCCAGCACGGGCTTTCCCATGGAGTCATCCACCTGCTCCAACATGGGGTCCTTCACGGGCTGGAGGTGGGCATCTGCTCCCCTGCTCCTCTCCATGGGCTGGGGGGGGACAGCCTGCCGTCTCACCACAGGCTGCAGGGGCATCCCCTGCTCCAGTGCACCTCCTCACCGTCCTTCTCACTGACCTGGCTGTTTGCAGAGGGGTTTCTCTCGCATTCCAATCTCCTCTCCTACTGCAAGTTTCCCCTTCTTAAATCTGTTCTCCCAGAGGCACTACCACCACCATCACTGATGGGCTTGGCCTTGGCCAGAGGCGGGTCCGACTTGGAGTCAGGGAAGCTTCTAGCAGCTTCTCACAGGAGTCACCCTTGTAGCCCCTCCCCTGCTAGCAAAATCCCCACCACACAAGCCCAAAACATAGGGGTATATTCCCCCATTCCATGTGTAAATTGTAGAACTTTTCTCACTTATGAAAGAAATTAAGAACTTCCATATCTTACACCCAAAAGGTGAAAGAACTTGAGTACTAGTGAAAGACCTTGAGACTGCTAAGTTGCCCATTAAAATTGATGGAGCTTACTTGACTTTTACCCTTGAGAAACAGAAAATGGGCCAATTTTTCCAAGTGCCTTAAAACAGGCCTTGTAGATGAATTGAAAGAGCAGAGAAATTACTTTGCAAGATTACATGAGTGTCAAGGATGTCTGGGAAGGGGCCTTTTCATCAGGAAATGAAATGGTAATTGAGAGAAAGACACTTAGGAGCTTGTATATTCTTTCTTTTTCTGAGTTTGCTAGTTCAACTAAGATGTCATTGTATGTTTCTTGATACTTGTAGTGAAAAAGGGCACAGTACAGAAGACACCTATTTCTTTTTCCCTCACCCTATCAGTCTGTCAATGTCATCCTTTATGAAGACCTTGTGGAACGACTTCCAGGTGATCTTGAGAAATGAAAAAACCAGAAGTGACCGTGGTTCCCTGCTCTGATAGGAGGCTACCCAGGTGCAAGCTGTCCTCTGCCCCTATCAGCCATATTAAGCTCTTAAACCCTGAATAGCACTATCCAATTCTGCAGGTCTCCAAATCACGTTCTTATCACTATTATTTATGCTATCTGAGGAGATCATTGTGCAAGTATATCTATACCTACCCTTGCATAAATCAGAAATCTTTTTTAGCAATCAATTAAAAAAAGCCCAGAGGTTAATCTGTCCCTTCACTTTTAATGACTCTTCCCCCATGATACGTAAACTAAGTAACTACAAACTGTATGAAAGGATTGCAGAAGAATATACTCTGCAAAGGATTTACAAATACGTTTTGTAAACAAGCATGTATATAACTTTTCTAAAAAAAGAAAAAGTGATGCATTTTACATTTATTTATGATTAGCTGGAGATTGCTCTCTGACTGCTTTTTACAATGCAGCTGATTGCACCTTTAGGTAGGTGCCTTTAAAATCCAGCTATTTAGGTCTACATGATTGTTTATTTAAATGAATTCATTAGCTCTGGACCAAACTAATTAAGATATTGTATTTAAAGAAAAGTTTGTGAAGAAGACAGTATGATTTCCTGGCTGTAAAAACGGTATCTAGAATCTGAAGGTAAGGAATACTTCCAAAGTTTGAGAATATACTGTCTAAAAACAGGCTTTGAATGGTATTCTGGTGGTGCACACAGACTACCCCAGAGGAGACGTGGAATAGCTCTTCCTGTACCTGTGCAATTACAGAACCAGAGGCTAATGTAAAACAATTCTATGGTGTTCTTGTCATGGTACTCCTATATAAAATGTTTATCGTCATTAGAATAATTGATTGTATTTGTGTGTAAGTTTTTGACAAAATGCCTTGAAGGGACTGAGGAATCTCATCATGTTTAGTGTTATATTTTCAGGTTTGCTTATTACCTTTTGTCCTAGTAGTACCAAAAGGCTCTGGCAGTGCCAGGATCAATTTCTTGTGCTCAAGAACATGAAATAATTAAGAGGATAAAAGAATGCTGGAAAAAAAAAATATCTCTTAAGCTTTTTATTGTAAATCATGAACATATACTTAGGAATATATCACATAAGTTTAAATTCTTTTTGGAATAGAATGTTTGGGATGATATTTGCTAATAAAATCACAGCACTCTGTATTTTGCTTTCTTATTTTAAGCAGGAGAATAGTAAGAGTTAACAATAAATGTTGCTTTTCTATAGTGCTTTTGTAAAATTGTGTTGCCAGATACAGTCTGCTTTTAGTATTATGGCAAATTGCTGAAGGTAGACAAGCTACTTTAATTTGTTTCAAAGAAGAAATCATTTTATATACAACTATAAAAGATTGAGTAGTTTATAGCAGAAATAAATTGGCTTAAGGATTTTAAAATGAGTTCTTATAACTGGTTTGAACAAATGTTTCTTTGGAAAGTTTTCATATACATCAGTGTCTTCTAGTATTCCAGTGAACAGTATTTTTCTTTCATTACTCTCACATTTATCTTTAGATCCAACAGTTTCCAGCAGAATCTAGGCCTTTACCTACACTTGAAAGTAATACGGGGTTTCTATTATGCATTCTTATATGTGACCTTCTATCACAGTTCCTTGATTATTTTTTCTTAACTGAATTGATCTAAATCTCTGGTTCCTGCATGTTTTGAGCCTATGGACCATTGCAGCCTCTTCCTCTGTCACAGAGACATTGTAACTTCCTAGAGGCACACCCTGTCTTGATTGAAGTACAAAAGTGTTCACAACAAACACTGTCAGCTGCAGTGCGTCCTGAAAAATCTTCTGCTCTCTTCCCCATAAATCACAGCTATGTCCTGGCCAAGCAATGAGCAAAAGGACAAAAAGGCCTTGGTAAAAAGAGTCACAGTGAGTGCAATATATTAATTGTTCTGATGACAGCAACTAATTTCTTTTCTGGGCTACTCCACTGTACACAGACTCACCTGCACAGATGTGCTACTCTTGGCAAAATCTGTCTGCGTGATACACATGCTTGATGCACTGGTGGTAGTCCTGTCCCTTCCTGGAAACACTGAATAGTCTCTAAAAGGATGAGTGGCCTGTGGTTGTTTCCTGATGCTGAAAACACGTTGATACAAGATGCTTTACATCTTGTGTTGTGAGAAGAACAGAGTGGCCTTGTTATGCTGACTAGTGGTGGATAAAAAAACCTGTATGTTGCAAAATGTTTAAGATACCAGAGGAAATTGGTTTTGGTTGACCTTGCAATTCCCTGGGAAGATGAGAACCTTAGGCACTTTGACGCTTTTAAGCTAAATTATGTAAATGTGGCTTGTGTTAAAAGAATGAACATCAAGAAAAGATAGATATTAGAGTTACTAAGGAATATTCTTTAGGATAAGTTGTATCAAAACTTGTGAAGTGTCCCACTGCACAGAATCACTGGAATAGGGTGA